CCGCCCGCCTCCGCCCGCGGCGAGCTAGCCCGCCGGCGCCCGGGAGCGCTGCCGCCAACGTCGCCGCCACCGTCACCGCCACTGCCCGGTCCAGGCCCAAGCCCAGGCCTACGCACAGCGGAGCGGCGCGGCGTCCACCCGGGCCCAGCTAGCCGGCGCGGCGGGGGCGGGTCCAGGATCTTCGGCTGATCTTCATTCTCAAGGCGGGAGCGGGAGTCCGGGCGCCCAGAATCTGGCTGGGCCCGCGCCCATGGCAAGCGCGGCCTGCCCGGGCCCCGGGGACCCTGCCATGTGAGGCAGGCCCGGGCTGGGGGCCCGGCCATGGCCGGGGAACGGCCCCCACTGCGGGGCCCTGGGCCCGGGCCTGGAGAGGTGCCGGGGGAGGGGCCCCCGGGGCCGGGGGGCGCGGGCGGAGGCCCGGGCCGCGGCCGCCCCTCCTCCTACCGGGCTCTCCGCAGCGCCGTGTCTAGCCTGGCCCGTGTGGACGATTTTCACTGCGCGGAGAAGATCGGGGCCGGCTTCTTCTCTGAGGTCTACAAGGTAGGACCGGCCGAGAGGGCAGAGGGGCGGGACCGAACCTTCAACCAGAAGCTGAAACTAGGGGGCCGGGAGTGCGGGGAAGAGGGTCCAGACTCGGGCGACCCTCCCGACCTGCCCGACCCTCGCCGGCCGCCCCCGCCCCCAGGTTCGGCACCGACAGTCAGGGCAAGTCATGGTGCTGAAGATGAACAAGCTCCCCAGTAACCGGGGCAACACACTACGAGAAGTGCAACTGATGAACCGGCTCAGGCACCCCAACATCCTAAGGTGAGCGGCCCCAGTCTCTGGGCAGCTTGCTGGGCGGGAGAGAAAAGGAAAGATCCCGCGGGAAAAGTGGAACTGAGGAGGAGCTGAGGCCCTTAACAGCCTACCCTTCTATCTTCCCCCTTCTCTTGCAGGTTCATGGGGGTCTGTGTGCACCAGGGACAGCTGCATGCTCTTACAGAGGTGAGGATAGACCAGGAAGGAGGGATTCCCACCCCCCCTTCACCCCCAAGGATAAAGGCAGTGAACAGGCCTGGTGGATCTACGGAGGACTAGTGAGAGGCAACAGGATCTCCTCCCAGGGGAGGCTTTCCTGAACTTCCCTTTAGGCAAACCACATATAAAAGGCCTCAGCTGGTCTTATTCTCTGTATCTCCTAGAATAGTGCTGTCCAATAGAATTTTCTTTTTTTTTTTTTTTTTTTTTTTTTTGAGACGGAGTCTCGCTGTGTCTCCCAGGCTGGAGTGCAGTGGCGTGATCTCGGCTCACTGCAAGCTCCGCCTCCCGGGTTCACGCCATTCTCCCGCCTCAGCCTCCCAAGTAGCTGAGACTACAGGCGCCCGCCACCACGCCCGGCTAGTTTTTTGTATTTTTAGTAGAGACGGGGTTTCACCATGTTAGCCAGGATGGTCTCGATCTCCTGACCTCGTGATCCACCCGCCTCGGCCTCCCAAAGTGCTGGGATTACAGGCTTGAGCCACCGCGCCCGGCCTAGAATTTTCTTTAGTGATGGAAATGTTCTCTATCTGTGCTGTCCTATACAGTAGCCACTAGCCACATGTGGTTAAATTTAAATTATGTTAATTGTTTAGATTTTTTTTCTGGGTCAACTTGATTAAATCTAAAAAATTTTAAATTATTTAAGTTGTTGCACATGGCTAATGGCTACTGAGTTGAACAGGGCAACCCTAGAACATGGATGGAGGGTCCTGCAGCACAATCTTACCCCTCTGACCTCTGTGATCCTCCGGAGTGTCCCCTAGCTTATAAGTGGGGGACCTAGAATACAGACTGAAGTCTGACATCCATTCCCATTCTCCTCCTATGCACCAGTATATGAATGGGGGGACCTTGGAACAGCTGCTCAGCTCCCCTGAACCCCTATCCTGGCCTGTCAGGCTCCGCCTGGCCCTGGACATTGCCCGAGGCCTGCGGTACCTGCACTCCAAAGGTGTATTTCACCGGGACCTTACATCCAAGGTAGGCTAGTGGGGTGGGTGGAGGCATGAAAGAGGGTTTGAGACTATTAGGTTGTAACTGTCCTGTGGACATTGGAATGTGGATAACAGATATATTAGGGTGTTGGAGTGGCGAGGCATTGGAGAATATTGGGGGACCAGGGTGAGGGGAGTGCTCGGAGGGACTGAATAGCACCCTGTGTTTGGAGTGTTGGGTGATGTTGCAATATTGAAGTGCCTTGAAAAACTGGGAGAGCAGAGAGGGTTGGGGTTATGCTGGAGTGACAGGGCTTTGGGTTATACATTGGGAGGCCAGAGGGCAGAAGGTGATGAGTGCTTGGGGATACTATGTGTGTGTGTGTCAGAACTGTCTAGTCCGACGGGAAGATCGAGGCTTCACCGCTGTCGTGGGTGACTTCGGGCTGGCTGAAAAGATTCCTGTGTATAGGTGAGGTGAATGTCCCTGTTCCCCCCAAATCTCCCAGAGTGCCCCTATCTGATGTCCCCAGAGCCCCAGCGATGTTTCCCTTGGGGAGAGAAGGGAGTTCACCTCATCCCCTTTTCCCTGGGGGAGATGCCTCAGTAGGATGTTTCTGACCACCCTGCCCCTGCCCCTGCAGGGAGGGGGCAAGAAAGGAGCCATTGGCTGTGGTGGGCTCCCCATACTGGATGGCTCCAGAGGTGTTACGGGGTGAGCTGTATGATGAGAAGGTGAGACATCAACCCTTCAGATCCCCAAGGCCTTCCGAGACCCTTGAGGTATTCTCATAAAGCCCCATCCATCCCCAAAACAACCCTACCAGATCTTCAGGAGTCCCCAAGATCCCTTTGCCCCTCACAGGCACCCTTCCAACACATGAAAACTGTCAAGATCCCCCACCCTCAACCAAATTCAGCTATATTCTGTCAAAATTCTGAAATGAAAACTGTTAATTCTTCCACGACACTATTATCTCTGACCCCCAGGCTGATGTCTTTGCCTTCGGAATTGTCCTCTGTGAGCTCATCGCCCGAGTACCTGCAGACCCTGACTACCTACCACGCACTGAGGTGAATGTCTCCAGGTTTGCAAAGGAAGAACTCCAGACTAGCTGGCTCATAACCAAGGAGGATTCCCTAGAGGTTGAGGTTCTGACTGGGGAGCAGAAGGAGAACCCAAGAAAAGCTGACCTGGAGGTCCCTCCTTCTGTCCCCACAGGACTTTGGCCTGGATGTGCCTGCCTTCCGAACTCTGGTGGGGGATGACTGTCCACTGCCTTTTCTGCTTCTGGCCATCCACTGCTGCAGCGTAAGATCCTCACAGCCCTTCCGCCCCACCCTGCCCCCATCTATAAGCTGCCATGGCTGCCCTATGGGACCCAGGTGATGGGAGGAAACTCAGAGACCCTGTTTCAGAGCACTGAGTGAAGCCATTCCCGTCTCTACCCATCAGCTGGAACCCAGCACCCGTGCCCCCTTCACCGAAATTACCCAGCACCTGGAATGGATCCTGGAGCAGCTGCCTGAGCCAGCCCCACTCACCAGGACTCCCCTGACACACAATCAGGGTAAGTGAGCATGACTTTGACCCAGCTTAAGTCCTTTGGCCTTTCTCATCCTTAAAACTCAGAGATGACATGGAGGAGGCTAAATATATTTATTAGTTGAAAAGGCTGGCGGTCGGGCTGGGGTAGGGTGGGAGGACATCTCAAAGAAGACAGTTTCCTAATGCTAAAGCTTGAGGGAGGGGAGGGGAACAAGTAAAAGGGGCCTGGAGATGACATCGCCCCTTTCCAAAGCACCAGGTGGGACTCCCTTTTTCAAGCTCTAGTCCCACCAGCCTCCTGGAGAATAGTGAGGCCCTCAAGGAGCTGTGATCAAATGCTGAGGACCGTGATTCCAGACTTCTCTGTCTACAGGCTCTGTTCCAAGAGGGGGTCCCTCTGCCACGCTTCCTAGGCCAGACCCCCGGCTTTCCCGAAGCCGGTCAGACCTCTTCCTGCCCCCATCACCAGAATCAACCCCAAACTGGGGGGACAATCTGACTCGAGTCAACCCCTTCTCACTACGGGAAGACCTCAGGGGTGGCAAGATCAAGCTTTTGGACACACCCAGCAAGCCAGTCCTGCCTCTTGTGCCACCATCGCCATTCCCCTCCACTCAGCTGCCCTTGGTGACCACCCCGGAGATGCTGGTCCAGCCTGGAACACCTGCCCGCCGCTGCCGCTCACTACCTTCATCCCCTGAGCTCCCCCGCCGTATGGAGACAGCACTTCCAGGTCCTGGCCCTCCCGCCGTGGGCCCCTCGGCTGAAGAGAAGATGGAGTGTGAGGGCAGCAGCCCTGAGCCGGAACCTCCAGGACCAGCGCCCCAGCTGCCTCTGGCCGTGGCCACAGACAACTTCATCAGCACCTGTTCCTCGGCCGCCCAACCCTGGTCCCCTAGATCAGGACCTGTCCTCAATAACAATCCCCCAGCTGTGGTGGTGAACTCCCCACAAGGCTGGGCTGGGGAGCCCTGGAACCGGGCCCAGCATAGCCTGCCCCGGGCGGCAGCCCTGGAGCGGACAGAACCCTCGCCACCCCCTTCAGCTCCCCGGGAGCCTGATGAGGGGCTGCCCTGTCCTGGCTGCTGCCTCGGCCCCTTCAGCTTTGGCTTCCTGTCCATGTGCCCCCGCCCCACACCAGCTGTTGCCCGCTACCGCAACCTGAACTGTGAGGCGGGCAGTCTCCTCTGCCACCGAGGGCACCATGCCAAGCCACCCACACCCAGCCTGCAACTGCCCGGGGCACGCTCTTAGCAGTGGAGCCTGTGGTCTCAGGCCTCCAACTTTGGCCTTCAGGACACCCTGTAAGAACAGAGCACACTTGCTGGACAGTGCCAGTTCCAGATGGGCTGACCGGCTCTTCTCCCTGTGTAGGGGAGCCCCAGCATGGACTCGAGGGACAGAGCACTTCCAGTTCAATCCCCGGCTCGTGTTCCCATGGGGATCACTGAACCAGACACAGCATTGCTGACACATGAGACTAACACGTGCAATTATTTAAAAAGATTTCAATAAAACTGCCTGGCTGGCTCCGGGCCGCCCCTATCCACTCAACCCGTGCGCCCTCCTCCCCCGCCCCATTCTACCATGGGAAGTTCTTGCAGGGAGGCCAAAGTCCCTTCTAGAGGTGGCTTCACCCTTTTTCCAAGAACAGTCCAGTTTCAGGAAGAGGGAGCAGGCAGCAGGCTGGCTGGAAGTGTCAGGTGTGGATCAGCTGGTGGCTGGACACTGCCCAGAATGAGGGAACACAGGGAGGACGTGGTCTGAGGACCCGCAGGCCTCAGGTTAGGAAGGAGGGGCACAGTTTCTTGTTGGCATGAGTGTCTGGAAGAGTAAAGTATCGGTGAGCTCCATGGTTGACTTAACTGAACCCTCATCCCGCTCACCCCGTCTCCCCCTCAGTTCTCGACAGCCACATCACCAGCCTCCCATAAGTTCTAGGCCTTTCCTGTCCCTCTCCCTGCCCACCCCATCCTAACATAAGCAGACCAAGCAACTGGAGGCTGTGGAGGAACTTTCATCCCAGGTACAAGTTTTCCCTCGGGCCCCTGGGTCCCTGTTCTGAGTCCCTCTGCCCCTGGACTCCCCATGCCTTGGCCCCATCCCTCACTCTTACCAGTTCAGTGTAAAGGGTTGTCCTAATCTGGAAATCTGAAAGCTGTCATCTCACAGATGAAGGGAAGAGGACTTCCACATGCCTCTTTCTCCGTTGTCCAATACCGTGACCAACCTTTTTGTACCTTGGTACATTTTGAACTTCGAACATAAACCCTAAAAAGGAATAAGGTAGAGCTGGGATATGCTCTGGACACCTCCTATCCCACCCTCCCTTCTCTCCCCTTTCCCTGCATAAAACCTAAGTCCTAAGTCGCTTTGCCTGCCTAAGGCCACATCTGGGCATGGTTCAGGACAGATGTCTGGAGTTCAACTAAAACAGGCTTTAGAACCAGCAGAGGGAAAAATCACTCCAGGTCATAAAGATGCAGGCCAGGCGCGGTGGGTCATGCCTGTAATCCCAGCACTTGTGGGAGGCCGAGGCGGGCGGGTCACGAGGTCAGGAGATCGAGACCATCCTGGCTAACACGGTGAAACCCCATCTCTACTAAAAGTACAAAAAATTAGCCAGGCATGGGGAGGCTGAGGCAGGGGAATGGTGTGAACCCAGGAGGCGGAGCTTGCAGTGAGCCGAGATTGCACAACTGTACTCCAGCCTGGGCAACAGAGCGAGACTCTGTCTCAAAAAAAAAAAAGATGGGAAGGCCAATTAGGGAACATAAGGAGGCTGCCACCCTGTTTCAGGGTCCCTAGGGTTGATCCTCAATGGTACCCCACTGCTCCCTTGATCACAGTGAAGTGGAGCTTCGATGGTACCCCCACTGCTCCCTTGCTTACTTCACTGAGGTAGCTCTAGTGCCCTGAGTGGCTGCTACTGAGAAAGTACAACCTCAGTTTGGGTGGCCTTGTCAAAGGATGGAGAAATGCTGCTGTCATCAGCTGTGGAGCCTTAACTAAATCCTTAATGTCTCCCCCTAAAAGCTAGCATAGGTCCCAACCTAGTAGTTACTGAAACAAAAAAGCATGTGCCAGGGACTTCTAGGTGGAAATAGAATGGAGAATAAGATTGCCTTAAGAAGTTATTAATCAAATAGAGGAAACAGACAAATAGGCAATTACAGTGTTGATTTATGGGAGAGTTCTGAGGGAAGCAGGTGGAGAGGAAATCTGATTACCAGGTCTTTATGGAGGGGATTATGGAGTTGAAAATACCCAGAGTCCTAACAAACTTACCTAATGTATTGTGTATCATCAGTAAACTTCTCATCCTTGTTAGAGCTGAGGTCAGTCCAGTATGAAATCCCTGAATCAACATTTGGCAACAGCGAATTTAAGATGAAGTAATACTAAGGAGAGATTCAGAGAGACCAGAGATATGTGGAGAGTGATGAGAAATATGGAAGAAAATGCATGCCCTAGGGAGGCCTCAGCTTCAGCAAGGGGGCTGTATATATGACAGCTCTTTGGTAACTGGTCCCTGAATCCACCAAGTGCCACCCTGCAGATGCAGGCTCAGTGCTCAATTTGCCTTCCAGCTGAGTAAGAATCTCTGCCAGCCTTTGGAGGGGAGTCATTGTGTGTGCTGTTCTGGCCCCAAGGAACTAATCCCTACAATCCAGCCCACCAGGTGTGGGACCTCTCTGCCTGAGAGGCCACAAGAGTCAAGGAACCTGTCAAGCAGCCCAGGGAGCTGACTAGCAAGCTGAGATGAGATACAGATTAAAGTAGAGGCCAGGTGCAGTGGCTCACACCTGTAATCCCAGCACTTTGGGAGGCTGAGGCAGGTGAATCACCTGAGGTCAGGAATTAGAGACCAGCCTGACCAATATGGTGAAACCCTGTCTCTATTAAAAATACAAAAATTAGCTGGGCGTGGTGGTGTGTGACTGTAGTCCCAGCTACTCGGGAAAGTGAGACAGGAGAATTGCTTGAACCCAGGAGGCAGAGGTTGCAGTGAGCTGAGATTACGGAATTGCACTCCAGCCTGGGTGACAGAGTGAGACTCTGTCTCAAAAAAAAAAAAAAATGTAGATATGGTTCCTAAGTTTCTACTCTCATGCCAACTCTAATCAGTTAGTAGGGGCTGCCTGGACCACTGTGCTGAGAAGATGCAGAGGTTGTTTCCAAGCTCAGAGGTCAAGAGTATTGTGATTCTCAGTTTCTTCCACAGAAAAGGAATGGCCACCCCAGCCATGTATGCACTGCCATTCCTGACTTGATGACATATGTCCCTTTACCGAATAGTACCCACCATAGTCTGTGAGTAAGGATATGCTTACTGATTGTTGATAAATTTCACTGAATGTGGCCAGCTTGGAAGACAGAGATTCACAATGTTTTTGGCTCTCCTGCCAAGTTTTCGAAGTAGGTGAGATGTAAAAGCAGCTTTTCTGATGCATTGTCCATCCCGTCGGACAGCAGGTGTCTAAAAAGCAGAAAGAGTGTGATAGCAGCAACAGTTGGGATGAAAGTAACTACTCAGCAATCTTTTGCTAACAATATTCTCCTAGGGCTAATCTCAGCACCTTCATGGACTTCTATGATCTTTGCAATCTTTCTTTCTTTTGCATCCCCTGGAAACACCGTACCTGTCCTTACTTAGTAAAAAGACTTTGACATTCAACATTACTTCTTAGCAATCTAGGAGGTTTGTCTTAATAGGGCTAATTTTATTACCCCAATTTCTGAACAATTGCAGTCCACCCTGACACTTTACCTAACATCTCTTGGGCCCATCTCCTCCACTCCCTAAAGCACCCCCCAATGCACATCCAAGACTTCCACTCCTCCAGCACTGGCCCCCTCCTTCCCTCTCCAATTTCCTACAAGCAGAAAATGTTGGGTCCTGTTTTGCAGAAACTGAGCTCTCTCCATTTCCCTCAAAATTTCTCTTCTCTGTTCTTCTTTTCCTGACTATCCATAATGAGCTGAGATCCGGCCACTGCACTCCAGCCCGGGCTACAGAGCAAGACTCCGTCTCAAAAAAAAAAAAAAAGAAATAAATATCCCTCTTTCTTCAACATCCTACATCCCAATCTGCACTTCTGATCCCCAGACCACCTCTCTCCATTGCTTTGTTCCATCAGTCCTACCTTCATCATTCAAAAATCATTTGCTCCCCACTAGCTCCCTCTGTTCTCTCTACATGATCTCATGTCCCCACCCTGCTACTCCCTTGAGTTACTGTCCTATGGCAACTTAAAGGAATAAAAAGAAATCCCTGCTGGGCACAACGGCTCACATCTATAATCCCAGCACTTTGGGAGGCCAAGGCGGGATGGATCACCTGAGGTCAGGAGTTCAAGAGCAGCCTGGTCAACATGGTGGAACCCCACCTCTACTAAAAATACCAAAAAATACCCAGGCACTATGGTGCACACCTATAATTCCAGCTACTCGGGAGGCTGAGGCAAAAGGATCACTTGAACCCAGGAGGCAGAGATTGCAGTGAGCCGAGATCACACCACTGCACTCCAGCCTGGGAGTGCACTTCAGTCTCACAGAGTGAGACTCCACCTCAAAAAAAAAAAAAAAAAAAAAGAACAGAACAGAAAAGAAAAGAAATCCGTATGGCCAAATGGAAGGAAGTGAGGGGATAAGTGGAACACTGAAAGGTAGGCAGGGGTGTTGGAAGCTATGTTAAGGATTTTTTATTTTTATATTATGAGAAAGAGAAAGTCAGTGTAGGATTTTACACAGAGGAATTTTGTTCACTAGCTATATCCCAAGTGCCTGGGCACAGTGCTAGAACATATCATCTGTTATGTATTCCATAACTGTTTATGTAATCAATTAACTGGAATGCTCTAGATTGGGATGACATGATCAGATTTTTGTAAAGAATTACCCTGGCTCCAATATGAAGAATGGACTGCGGGCAGAGGAGTGAGTAGGAAAAACATTTAGAAAGTTGTTGCAGCTATCCTTGCAAAAGATGAGGATGGGGAAAATCCAAATGGATTTATAGACTTGGTGATGGGAAGTGGAGGGAATTCCTCTCAGAGTGGAAGGTGAGGGCATGTGCTGAAAGTGAGAGAGAAGGAGTTATTATGGAGAGCAAGCTAACCACTGCAGAGGTTGCCAGGCAGTGCTGAGAGACTACAGTCTCAGTGGCACTGAGCAAAATGATTCCACAATTTGTCACACCTTGGTGCTGACTGTGGGCAGTTGGGTTCATCCAGAGTTGAAATTTTGCCCATCAGGTGCACTAGAAGGATAACGGAACAAAGAAGCGAGTGAGCCATGTGCGGTGGCTCACGATTGTAATCTCAGCACTTTGGGAGGCTGAGACAGGAGGATCGCTTGAGCCCAGGAGTTCGATACCAGCCAGGGAAACATAGTGAGACCTTGTCTCTATTTTAAAAAAAAAAAAAAAAAAGTGAGTAGTAAAAGTGATGGGCTCCAAACCCATGATAGGTAGGGAGAGAAGTGTGGACAGGAGATAGCTGATGGGAAGGGAGAAAAAGGGGAGTCAGCAGATTGGAGGCCTCAATGAGATCAAAAAAGTTTGGGGAAAACCTGGAGGAGTGGTGGGCAGCTGTGATCAGAGTGGAAGTCTGAAACCATCCTTTTGCCAGAAGAGCAGTTTGGGATGTAGAGGTCTAAGGTGCTGCTAAGAGAATGGGCAGCCCTGGCATGGAACTGATGATCACAGAGGTTCAGGTTAAGGAAATGAGGGCAAGGGGCGTCTGCACATAATCTTGCTGTCTTATGCCTGGGGAGATCGACCAGATGACCCCAAGCTAGACAGAGCCTAAACCTGATCATAGCCCAAAAACACCCCAGTCCCCTTGGGCCTGGCACCTTGCCTAGACCCTCAGCCTGTTTTGACACAGCCTTGCCTCTTTTATGTGTCCCTTTCCCCATCTCCACCTACTGGCTGGGGTCCTGCTTTCAAAATGAATGGACACCCCATCCTAGTTCCCTACACCACAACTCCAGGCTCCACCTCACTGTGAGTGCTGAGAGCCTCACTGCCTTGCCCCACCACCAGGTTGCACTCCATGTCAGTCAGTTAGTCTTACCCTTTGGGGAGATCTCAGCTATAATGAAAATTAATGAAAATTGAGGACCCTGTCTTTAGAAAGATGTGCAAACTGCCAAGTTCACATCCAAATTTGGGGGCATTCCAGATCTTTGTCACTGATATCAACAGGAAGAAACCTTGGACAGTGTGATTTGGACTGCTGGCTGCCATCCTCCTCTACCCCACAGGATGAGCCTTGGAGCTCGGTGGGTCCCCCTAAATCCAGTATGCAGCTTGGTCCTTCTCTCTGTTGGCCAAAGCTGAACAGCTCATGTCAGCCATCACTCTGGTTCACTGCCCCTTTCCTGAACACCTCACAGGCCCCTGGGTGATAGACGCCTTCCACTAGTATCTCCTTGCTCCAATCCATCCCTCCCTTCTCTCCTCTCCCCAGAGCGGACACCTGATGAGCGGCATGTGAAGAAGGGCTTCAGTCTGTTCTCCATGTTGCTCAGCTTCTGCTCCAAGGCCCTCCTCTGTTGCTCCTCACTTTGCAAGGTCTCCTTCGTCTTCTCGCTGTCTGTCTGGCAGGCCTGTAGCTGCCCTTCGGCCGCCTGATGAGCCCTCTGTTCCACCTCTAGTGCTTCCTGACTCTGCGCCAGCTCTCTCCTGGACCCCTGCAGATCCTCTGCGCTCTGTCCCAGCTGCCTTATCTTCAGGTGGAGCTGCTGCCTCAGGCTGCTGTTAGTAGCTTCCAGAACCCTATTCATCTGCTGGAGCTGCTGAGACACCTGCAGATCTGTTTGGCCACAGAGATTTGGTGGATGTCTTCTCCAGCCCTGCCCTAGTGCCCTGAGACTGCAGCATCAGCCCTTTTTCTCCTTCTTGCAACTTTTTGCATCACAGGCTGAAATACAAGATTTGACTGCCTAAAGTGTAAGGAGGTACTGGATTAGGTGAGGACAATTCAGGAAGACAACAGCCCTGGCAGGAAACCAAACCCAAAGCTAAGGATGTGGTGGTAGTGACTATGAGCCCTGCTGAGGAAGGTCAGCTTTGCGGGGAAAGTCAGGAGGAAAGTCGTTCCGTGTAAGTGGGAAGTGGGGACAGCCTTACTCACAGCGCACTCCCAGGCAGATGACGGCTACTCCTAACAGCAGGCAGGTGAGCAGCAGGCCGAGCAGGAAGTATCGCAGGCAGGCTGTGCGGCCTTAGGGGGACAGTGGGATGGATGCGGGCAGTCAGCCCCCGGAAAGAATGTAGAGACGAGGGGACAGGTCCGCGGGGGAGACCCCTGGGGAAGGCATCCCTAAGAGGAGGGAGGTGCAGAGCTGAGGGGGCAACCATGGTGGTTTCTGTTGGGTAGCGGGGTGTTTCGCAGGTAGGGGAGAGGGTGTTCCAGAATCAGACCTGGTAAGGACTCAGGGGCATAACCTGGGAGAAGGGGAAGGAAATATCAGACCGAGAGAGGGAGAGAGGAGAAGGGGGGCAGGAAGGCGAATTGGGACCATCCGCAGGGGGGCGGTGCACGTCGGATTCAGACGCACCCGATGTAGGTGAATGGGGCAGGGCAGCCGGGGCGGTCGGAAGGGCTGCGCCCGGACTCATCCTGGGAAGAGCTACACCCCGCGGGGCCCAGCGCCATCCGCAGCCGGGACAGGCGCGAGCACGTGCCCCCGCGGCCGCACCGCACACTCACAGGGGAGAATCCGCCCGACGGCTAGTGACGTCACGGCGCTCCAGGACGCAGTTGACTGCTCCGACTTGACCGCTGTCGAGGGGAGCATTCAGTTTGAGACGGGAAGCCCCGAGTATTGCCCCTTCTCCTCCGGTGCACCCGCTTCGCCCTCGCCACTGGGAAACTCCAGTCTGCCCCACGTTGCCCGCTAGGGTTGCTCTGGTACACCCTGTCACTCTACTGAGTTCCTCCTCTGCCTGGGACTCTCTCGGCTCCCTCCTGGGTCTCACCGTATCTTTTCCCGGACCCCCTCATCTCTCGTAGTTCTTCCTTTATCGCTTCCTCAGGGACCCCTTATCTGTCGGCCCCAAACCCTCTCCCGCTTTGCTCTCATCCAACTCCCATCCCCCCTTTTCCCTCCCATGGCTCCCCATTTCCCATTAGAACTCATCCCCCACAGGGCTGCCCTATCCCTCCGCAGCCCTTATCTCCCTCACTGGGGTCTCCACCTTGCCGGAGGAATCTTTCTTCCTCCCCTGGCTCCCATTTATCCTGTTCCTATTCTTCCGTTTCCTAAGAACCGCCCTCCTCCTTTCCCCAGGGTATTGTGCTCTCAAGAACATTGTGGGCCATGGCGTGGGGGTGCACGCCTGCAATCCCAACACTTTGGGAGGCCAGGGCAGGAGGATCACTTGAGCCCAGGAGCTCAAGGCTGCGATGAGCCATGATCACGCCACTGCACTCCAGCCTGCGTGACAGAGCAAGACCCTGTCTCAACAACAACAAAAACATTGTGGACCCCCCGGCTCAAGACACAGCCCCTCAACAAACACACATCCCCCAGGCTCTCCAGACCTGCTTTGTCGCCTAGTCCAGAAGAAGCCAAGCTTGAGGGTCCCCCTGGGACTGGGGGCACTTGAACATTCTCATAGGTGAGTTCCCCATCGTCATCAGCCCCTGGGTCTGGAGAGAAGACAAGAGGGACCAAGGTGGGAGTCGGGAATAGGATCTGTGGGGTGGGGAGTGGGGATGCAGGACCAAGGGGAGGCCTCATCCCCCTTACCCTGTCCTAACCGGCTGGAGATGCTCTTCTTCAGGGGTGCCTTCACAAACCTCAGATCTGCATAGGTGATGGCCTCAGCCATGGTCCCGAGCAGCTCTGCCCCAACTCGTCTTCCCTGTCATCCACCGTCCTCCCTTGCTCCTCTTTTCTCTGTCCCTTTACAACTAGGCTCTGTGTTCCCTCTGTGACTGCACGGTTTATCACCTGGCCCTGTGACTTCCAGTCACAAAAGAGGAAGGTGTTAGCAAGTCTCAAACAGATGGGCTCAATGAAGCAGAAGGCATCCCTGGGCCAGGGCCAGAGGGGCCACGGAGGGGACGCTGAGGTCCAGAGCACAGGGGTAGGGACTGGGTCTGCCCCATGTCCTCCCCGTGCTTCCTCTCCATGCATCTTAGACCCATGTGGGCCATACTGGACCCCAAACTCGGTCCTCCTGGTTATCTGCTCTGATCTGCCCCGCCCTCCTCCTGGCTGCCTTGTCCCCTGGGGCTTATGATGTGTAGCTGCAGCTGCACTGACTCAGATGATCTCCCCAGCTCCAGGGTGAGGCTCCATTCTCCCCATGAGACTGGGGGTTCCTGGTTTGCATCCCTCACTCCTCATCATCCTGGGGTTTCCAGTAACTGGGCGTTCAGGAACAGGTCCGGGCCAGGGGTGAAGGTAAGGAACAGCCATGGCTGCAGCACCTCTGGAAAGGCATGCGGCAGCACTGCCCCCCATGCATCCTCATGGGGAGCCAGGGAGCAGGTGAGCACGGGAGTTGCAGAGGGCTTAAGAAGGACTGCAGCTTCCTAGGCAGAGGCAAGGCAGGAGCAGAGCCAGAGGCCAAGCACAGATTCTGGACCAGCAGAGGTTTTGACATTTTCTTGGTTTGGTTTTGGTTTTTCTCTTATTTTCACAGCAAAGTTCTTCCTTTAAATAAAGTCCCAAAGCTGTCCCTTCACACACAGCCCCAAGGAAAAAGGGGGCATTTGTGGTGGAGGACCCAGGGACTGCCAGGCCTTCATAGGTGTTGGGGGCCTGGCTGATGGAAGAGACAGGGAACCAGTTGGGGGAGAAGGGGGCAGCTGAGCAGGGGTGCCCAAAGGCGCTCCCTAATGTTCTTTTACCAGGATGTGACCCCTAATAGGAACCCCAAAATGGCCTACATCCAGGATAGGAAGGAGCTGGAACAAGATGTAGTGTGGGGGTGGGAAGAACCAGCCCCTAGTAAAGTGACATCCGCCCCGCAGAAACCCCCTCTCCTACAGCTGTGGGGAGGAAAAAGGAAGGGGAAAAAGGTCCTCACCGCATGCCAACAGCTTGGATGATTGGTGGTGTGTGGCAGGACACACACCTAGAGCTCTGCCAATAGCTCCGCCCAGCCACCCCTAGAGGAAGTGGCCACTGAGGCAAAGCTGTCACTTCAAAAATGTACCTGTAGAGAGGCACATGTGTGCATGTGCGTGCATGGACACGCATGTTCCCAGGACTTTGCAGTCTGTTAGGGCATCTGTGAGGTGAGCAGCTATGTCAGAGCCTGCCTGGAGGAGGAAGCCTTCTGTGGGCTGAAGGCTGCCTGCGATCACTGTTATTTTCCATGGCAGGGAATGACGGGTCATTTTCAGAAAAGTCTTCAAAGGTCATCACAAGAGATCCTACAAGTATTTCCTTCTTGAGGCTCACTGTTTCCTAAGGTGCCTCTGCAGCTGTTAACGGTCCTTGCTTGATTAAAGTTTCCAACAACCCAGACCTTCCCCCAGATATAGACAGTGGTGTGTGGTGGTGACTCCCTGGGGGCCTCAGGGGCCCTGAGAGTGAGTGGGAGGGTGTAGAGCAGCTGGTGGCAAGGGTGGATGGGGTGGGAAGAGTCAAATACTTGAACCTGTGGTGTACAGGGGGTGGGTGTGGGCAGTGTGTGAGTAAATCAATTGCAGGAAAATTTACAGGAGTTCCACAAACTGTAGAATGTCCCAGTTTTCAGATCCAATACATGGGTGAACATGATGTAGATGCCAGGTAAAATGCCAAAATCAAGCTTCTAGTCTGCACTCAAAAAGGAATCCGTGGCCAACATAGTGAAACCCTGTCTCTACTAAAAATACAAAAAAAATTAGCCAGGTGTGGTGGCTGAAACCTGTAGTCCCAGCTAGTCAGGAGGCTGAGGCAGGAGAATCACTTGAACCCAGGAGGTGGAGGTTGCAGTGAGCCAAGATCGCACCATTGCACTCTGGCCTGGGCAACAAGAGCAAAGCGCCATCTCAAAAAAAAAAAAAAAAAAAAAAAGAATACATGGGCTTGCTGCCTAACTTGACTGTGGAGAGGCTTAAGAAGGGGATCTCCTGGCCGGGCGTGGTGGCTCACACCTGTAATCCCAGCACTTTGGGAGGCTGAGGTGGGCAGATCACCTGAGGTCAGGAATTTGAGACCAGCCTGGCAAACATGGTGAAATCCCGTCTATACTAAAAATACAAAAATTAGCTAGGAATGGTGGCATGTGCCTGTAATTCCAGCTACTAGGGAGGCTGAGGCAGGAGAATTGCTTGAACCCAGGAGGCAGAGGCTGCAGTGAGTCAAGATTGTGCCCAGCCTGGGCTACAGAGTGGGACTCCGTCTCCAAAAAAAAAAAAAAAGAATAAAAAGAATAAAAGGAAGAAGAAGAAGGGGATCCCCAGCTGGAACTGCACACCCCATTGTCTTGAATGTCTTAACCAGGCTTGTTCTATATTTTTCTCCTCTTTAGCTCTTTTGGTGATGGTTACATATCTTTTGATCATAGGCCACATTCGCTTCTAATCTTAGACCAGCTTGTAGCCTTCCTTTGTGAACACAGTAAGAGAGTGGGATCCTTCCCCTTCCCCATGTGTATCACACATTACCTTTAGAGACTGGACATCAGAAAAGATACCTGTAACTCCAAGCTGTACCTCTACTGCCCAAATATCAGGGAACTTTTAAGAGCTGAGGGGTCAGTGCTGTACATTTCAGCTTTTCCAGAACTGTAATATCATCATCTGAGAGCCTGGAGGGCAGACACCAACACCCATGTTTTGCCCTCTCTTGGCCTCCCCACTACTCATTACAGGGAATGGGTGTTTACAGTTGACAAGAGGAGGGGGCCCAACCATGAGGGCATCAGATAGAATCTGCCATGTGGAAGGAAGCTCACCTGATCAACTTTGTGTCATTGATACAGTCTATGTCAGGACATCAGGAGCATCTCCTAAGACTCTGAAAGTCAGGCTATATCTGTCTTCATTACTTTAACCCACTGGCCTCCAGGAAGCCCTAGTTTACTGACAGGGTGTGGTAGCCAAAATAATGGCCTCCCAAAAATGTTCACACCCGAATCCCCAGAACCTATGACATATGTCACTTTACCTGACAAAATGTAGATGTGACTATGTTAATTAAGGCCCTTTAGATGGAGAGATTATTCTGTTTTATCTTGGTAGGCACACTCTGATCACATGAGTCCTTGAAAGGGAGAACCTTTCCCATCATGGGAAGAAAGAGATTCGGTGAGGGAAGGAGGGCCAGAGAGATGCCACAGGAGAAACACTCAACCCATAGGTCCTGATTTTGAAGATAGAGGAAAAGGACCATGAGCCAAGGAATGCAGGCAGCCTCTGAGAGCTGGAAAAGGCAAGGAAGCAGATTTTCCCCTTCAGCATCCAGAAAGGAACCAACCCTGCAGACACCTTGACTTTAGCCCAGTGAGACCTGTGTTGACTTGATCTCCACGACTGTAAGATAATAAATTTGTATTGTTTAAGCCACCAAGTATGTAATTTATTAGAGCAGCAGCAGTTTCCTGAACTGTGGAGGAAGCATGATATAATAGAAAGAACAGGGAGACTCTGGTTAAAGAGACCAGCCTTGCCACAGCATGTGACTCTGGGCAAGTCACAATTTTCCATATGTAAAATACAAGATAGTCTGACCTCAATCAAGAGTATGATTGCTGGAGACACACTAGGTGTGGACTTTACAAAGGCCTCTTTAAAAGTCTGTCACAAAGGCTTCAGAGTCAGGAGGGAGAAAAATGGGCCACCCGATTGCACCATGAGGGAGACGTGGATTTCTTTGATCACTGAAGCCAAAGAGTACAGATAGGTCTTCGGTGACTTGCCCTAGGCCTCTCCTTGGTCCTGCCTCAAATGGTGACACAGAAAGCACATTCTCTGTGCTAATGGCACAGAGCTGAAAAGAAAAGCAAATACATCAAAAGGCCAACTCAAGATTCGAGCCTTGCAACAAGGCAAAATGATGGCTCCCAACCACAGAATGAAATGTCATAAAAATAATAACAGCAGGCTGGGTGTGGTGGGTCATGCCTGTTATCCCTTGGAAGGCCAAGGCGTGCAGATCATGAGGTCAGGAGTTCGAGACCAGTCTGGCCAATATGGTGAAACCCCGCCTCTACTAATAATACAAAAATTAGCTGGGCACGGTGGCACGCGCCTGTATCCCAGCTACCCGAGAGGCTGAAGCAAAAGAATCGCTTGAACCTGGGAGGCGGAGGTTGCAGTGAGCCAAGATGGAGCCACTGCACTCCAGCCTGGGCAACAGAGCAAGACTCTGTCTCAAAAAAAAAAATAATAATAATAATAATAATAACAGCAAAGTCAGGCACAATGGCTCATGCCTGTAATCCCAGCACTTTGGGAGGCTGAGGTGGGTGGATCACGACCAGCCTGACCAACATGGCGAAACCCCATCTCTACTGAAAATACAAAAATTAGCTGGGCATGGTGGCACATGCCTGTAATCCCAGCTACTCAGGAGGCTGAGGCAGGAGAATCGCTTGAACCTGGGAGGCGGAGGTTGCAGTGAGCCGAGATACTACTACTACTGCACTCTAGCCTGGGTGACAAAGGGAGACTCTGTCTCAAAAAATAATAATAATAATAATAATTAATTTAATTTAATAAAAATATAAAATGAGCAAATGAGCCTCTGCCTAAGGCTGACCAGTCCATAGACAAGCCAGTGGCCTGGACATCAGGATGAGTTTATCAAATGTTCATTTTCAGGAATTTAAGTGGGAAAATATGGAGATGACCGCTGAGTTGGCAGTGGGAGTTAAAGATGAAAGGATGTGTAGAGAGCATCTACCTTGACCCACAGAGTTCTCCATATCTAGTGATCGTCCCTGGCTACTCCTCGCTCACATACTTAGTGGGGAGCGATTACCCTGGCAGAGGCGACTGAACCTGATTGCCTGATTATCATGAGGGGTTAGGGCTGCTGCTACATACTGTAGGAATGTCCAGGCACACCTCATTTTATTGCACTTATTACACTTCACAGATACTGAGTTTTTTTACAGGTTGAAAGTTTATGGCTACCCTGTGGCAAGCAAGTCTACTGGTGCCATTTTCCAACAGCACATGCTCACTTCATGTCTCTGTGTCGTCACATTTTGGTAATTCTTAAAATATTTCAAACTTTTTTCATTATGATTGTATCTGTTATGGAGATCTGTGGTCAGTGAGTTTTGATATTAATATTGTCATTGTTTTGGAGCACCACGAACCATACCTATGAGACATTGAACTTAATAAAAGTTGTGTGTGTTCTGACTGCTCCACTGACTGGCTGTTCCCTGTCTCACTCCCTCTCCTTGGGTCTCTCTATTCCCTGAGACAAAACAATATTAAAATTAGGCCAATTAATAACCCTACAATGGTCTCTAAGTGTACAAGTGAAAGGAAGAGTTGCACATCTCTCACTTTACATCAAAAGCAGAAAGGATTAAGGTTAGTGAGAAGGGCATGTCCAAAGCCAAGATAGGCCAAAAGCTAGGCCTCTTATGCCAGTTAGCCAAGCTGCGAATGCAAAGGAAAAGTTCTTGAAGGAAATTAAAAGAGCTACTCCAGTGAACACATAAATGATAAGAAAGCAAAACAGTCTTATTGCTGATATGAAGAGAGTTTGAGTGGTCTGGATAGAAGATCAAACCAGCTATAACATTCTCTTAAGCCAAAGCCTAATCCAGAGCAAGACCCTAACTCTCTTCAATTCTCTGGAGGCTGAGAGAATTGAGGAGGCTGAAGAAGAAAAGTCTGAAGCCAGCAGAGGTTGGTTCATGAGGTTTAAGGAAAGAAGCCATCTCTATAACATAAAAGTGCAAGATGAAGCAGCAAGTGCTGATGTAGATGCTGCAGCAAGTTATCCAGAAGATCTAAGATCATTGATGAAGGTGGCTACACTAAACAACAGATTTTCAATGCAAACTAAACAGCCTTTTATTGGAGAAGAGGCCATCTAGGACTTTCATAGCTGGAGAAGAAAAGTCAGTGCCTGGCTTCAAATCTTCAAAGGACAGGCTGACTCTCTTGCTAGAGGCTAATGTAGCTCGTGGCTTTAAGTTGAAGCCAGTGCTCATTTACCATTCTCGGAATCCTAGGGCCCTTAAGAATTATGGTAAATCTATCCTTCCTATGCTCTATACATGGAAGAACAAAGCCTGGATGACAGCACATGTGTTCACAGCATGGTTTAGTGGATATTTTAAGCCCACCGTTGACACCTACTGCTCAGAAAGAAGATTCCTTTCAAGATATTACTGTTCATTGGCAATGTACGTAATCACCCAAGATCTCTGATGGAGATTAATGTTGTTTTCATGCCTAACAAACTTCCATTCTGTAGCCCATGGGTCAAGGAGTAATTTTGACCTTATTTAAGAAATACATTTTGTAAGGCTACAGTTGCCATAGGGATTCCTCTCATGGATCTGGGCAAAGTAAACTGAGAACCTTCTGAAAAGGATTCGCCATTCTAGATACCATTAAAAACATTCATGATTCATGGCAGGGAGTCAAAATATCAACATTAACAGGAGTTTGGAATAAGTTG